TTAATAATTTTAGTAATCAAATTATCTAGAAAATGTTCTATTAATATATATTATATACAAATATTGTTTTATTTTTACTAATAATTTTTATATTAATCATAACTTTATTACTAATAACAAAACTTTCCTTTATTGAAAAAATATAGAAATTCTTTTAGTTCAAATGATTTTTTAAAAATAATATTATATCAACAGTTTATTTACCCACAAATTTATAAATATTAATTATATATTGAAACTTTGTTTCAGGATTTATTTTATCTATACATTACTGCCTAAATATTGATATTGCATTTTGATCAATTACAAATATTATAAAAGACATAAATTCAGGATGATTATTTCGTTTAATTCATACAAATGGAGCAGAATCATGGGTTTATAAAGATTTGATGTAACAATGATCATGTAAAAACATGAACATGAAAAAAGTCCTATATAAATCTGAAATCAGAAAATGATATTACTTTTATTTCTTATACTTCTATTGTTTTCAATTATTGTTTATCGAGCCTCTCAACACTTATTATAAAATATGTATTATTGAGGTGAATGATCTAATCCAGAGTATATATGATGTATTATCATAACAATTGTAAATGGATTTCAAAACAAAGATACAACGGTTAATACTTTAGAAATCTTCAATGTATGTAAATGTTGCAACATTTTTGGGACACTTTGTATATAATATCATTCACAATAAGTCCAATCATATCCTTCTAAACACTTTCAAAGAATTTTAAAGAAAGAAAGATTTATTAAAATTGTTGTTATTTGTCTCTAAGGAATCTTCTTTTTCTTCTCCCTTCAAGTTCAGCTTACAAAGCACGATATGTTTCTGTGCTATCAATTTATTTGTATATGAAGAATCTGTTAAAACTACAACTTTGTTAGAACGACGATTTATTTGGTTTATCAACAATCTGAAGAATTGGCAATCTAAAAACTGCTCGTTTCACTTGTTGAATTAGAAAATGGACAAAAATTGCATCATTTTGATTGCTGTAGATTTGAAGATGTTTCGTTAAATTTGATATCTTCTAGAAATAATCTGCCAATAATTCTTAAAAATATAAAATCATTATAAAATGTCTGAAAATGTTATATTTATTTATTTATTCTTTTAAATATTTGTTATATTCAACACATTTTCTTCGAGACGTGTTCGTTGTTTGGATTTGTTCATGCTCCATCGACAACATTAACTAACATTACTGTCGTGGCTCGATTTTTTGTTAATAATTTGTTAACAAAGCCGAAACGAAATTTTTTGCAAAAGAAAATGTTGCTTGAAATTACCTCGAAAATTTCTGGATCTTCCAAATTTTGGAATATTTTGTGTATGTGTGATTATATGATAAATAGATGTGTTCCATTAGATTACGTTTAATTTTTTTTTTTTTTTTGTATCAAGTTTTGCAAATCTAATCTATTTCGATAAATAGATAACTATATTATTTTTTATAGATAATGAATTATACATTACAGTAATAAATACTGTATTTTAAAACAATTTTTTCTTAATCTTCTATATTTTGTTTTTGTCATCTTTTTATATTTAAATATTTCTGTACTTCTTGATTTTCTACTGCGAGAAAAAAGAATTATAATGCTGTATCGATTAAAACCAAAAAATGTAAACTAGAATTAATTTAGAAATTAATATTTTAAATATAGCGTGATTAGATGAGATAATTTATAAAACTGAAATAAAAATTTTCTACTTTATATCTAGAAATGTATCGTGTACCACAACCATCACTATCGATAATATAAATTCTCTAATTGTGAACCAAATGGAATAATTTTGAATATAATATTATAATTTTGAAGCCAATAATATTATGTCTTCAGATATATATTTCGTCTATTTTGAAATAGAAATTTCTAAAAATGATCATTGCTAAAGATATAAGAGAAGAAGAAAAATTATAGAAATTTTTTAAATGTAAAAAAAGGGTTTTTTTGACAAGGATCTAAATATCAAATTTTTAATTATGAGAGGGAAAACAAAGGTTGGAGAAATATGAATAGATATTGGAATTTAATGATTAAACTCATGCAAATGCATGTTGCTTTGCATACTTAAAAACACGTGTTATATACCATTTTGTACATTGACATATTCATTTGGTTAATTGGAATCAAATTTATTTAATAATTCACAGATAGAGAGTAATTATAATTTTTAATTTATATCATATATTCTGTATATATTACCATTCTCTTTCAATGCATGTCAAAGAAACGTGCAAAGAAGCAGGTACGTTAGAATAAACACAGATTACAAATAAAAAATTCGAATTAAAGATAGTTTCAGAGTTCACCATAGAATAAATTGACCAATTTTTACTAATTTTTTAATTTTTCCTTACACAAAGACTTCAATTCTAATCCTTTTAAAAAGAAAAGTTATAATTAAATTATTACAACAAAGATACTACTGATATAATTATACTAATTGTTATATGTGTTTCAATGTTTTAATGTTACACTCATCGATGCATTCGATTTTGTTACAAATATCGGTGTGAAATTTAATTTAACTAACTTTGACCTTGAATATCTTATTTATAACTAGTTGGATCTTATTTGAGTTCAGATTCTAGGCAGAGAAGTTTAGAAAGAAATGTAAATGTCGTGATGAACAAAACCAGACGATGAATTTTCCTTAATAAAAAAAGAAAAAATTAAAAAAAGTAGAGAAATTGATTAATCAAATAATATAATTTAATAATATAAGTATTTATAACATGAATCACATTTTGAAATCAGTCATTTAATTGGATCTGATACGGTTAGTATATATTCAATATAACGATATTAAATATAATAACTAAATTTTGTAAATAATTAAAAATTTTTTATATCATGTTTACACTATATTTTTGCATATTTAATTTAATTTCTTTAATAGAGTATTTCTTTAATATAAAATAATATTGAAAATAATTCCACCATGAAGAATATAGATTTGTAAATTAATCCTAATTGTTGTGTGTGGCCAAAGTTTTTCTCGAGAAAGAATAATGAACGAAGGGAAGAATTAAGCATTGAAATGCAAATAAAATGCAAATTTTGAAATCGTATATGCGTTGTACAGAAAATTTTCTGTGCAAGATCATCTTGTTTGTTGGTAAATAAAACTGAAAGGTTTGAAAAAGCATTGGAACAAAAGAAATAAACGAGATAGTTCCAGAGATAATAGCAGAAATAAATGAAAGTGAATGCGAATATATTTTGGTGGCAAGAGTCGACTCGCAAAAGGATTTCGTGGGTATATTGCCATAGAAAAACCTGTTGTTAACGAGAACAAGATAAAACAAAAACAATCAGAATTAGACAAAAATATATTGGAAAATATATATTGAAATATTCAGATCTGAACGACAGATCCACAAGGAAAATTAATCAAAACAGTTTATACCAGTTTATATAAAATAAACGGTATTCTAAAGAAAGAAGAATATTTAAATTATGCCATTTTTTCCGGATATCGTATAATTGCCAACAATTTTACATTTGTAATAATGATAATACCATAAACTGTTCAACACACGTAAAAATTATTTACAAGGGTTAGGAGGAAAAATTCGAAATAAAAATAATTATTATATCGCTGATTTAAATTCCATAGAGAAACTATGAGATTTAGATAGAGAAATCAGAAAAAAATGTCCAAAATCAAAAAAGCATCCTATAGAATATTCCAGAAACGAAATGGAATAATATCCATTCGGAAATAACGAAGATATTCGAGTAAAATAGATTTGCAAAACTACAATGGATATGAATGTGAATGAAAAGAAATATATAATTTTTTTATATTTACTAACAAAATATCTAATAAATATCATGTATTACTTAAACTACATTCCTACAGTATAAAATAAAATATTTAAAACTGATTAAAATTTGTTATATATAATGATTTTATAACTTCTTTTAAATACAATTATTGTGATTTTTCACAATATTGAAACAAGATCAAGATATCCAAATATAATACCTCCAAATTCGATTACTCCTTATTCTACGTGAGGTAGGATCTTACAAATTATTCAAAATTGTCAATGATTGTAGTCTTTGAGTCGCATCAGTGCTTTTTTTCAATTGTTGTTTTTTTTTTTTTTTAATATCTCACCGATAGAATACAAATATCAGTAGTTTTGACAATGCAATAGCATCTCCATTGCAGAAATGAATATACTGCTTCTTGATTTATTTATTCCTAGAGCTGGTGCAACCGTTTGCTTGGAGTAATTGAAGCCAACTCGAGCGACTCATCTTGACATCAATGACATCAAGATATGTTATATCGATCATTGAACATCCAATTTAATTCCCAAGAATCGAAGGATCGAATAAGATTCAAAATTCACACAAGTCTCAACCCGTAACAACAGTTTTTCGAATCTGAAGTTTCTCATATTAGATGTCTTGGCTGATTTAACTCCCTAGAATCTTAAGTCTTAATTTAATCATAAAATTATTGCCGAACGTGAGAAAAATTTGCTCAAACAATTTAAAAATGAACTTCTCTTGCGAAATTCATGCTTATTTTTAAATGAATTTTCTTTGTAATTAATTACAAGCAAATAAACATGAACTTCAAACTACTTTTTATCGTTCTATTGCGCTTTTTAACGAGGAACGATTCACAATCAACATTTGTATTAAAAGAAGATGAGAAGTTGGATATAACTGCAGATGACTGAATCATTGAAATGTTTGAGTTCCGTTGTATCATGTGCATTAAACAGTAAGTGAACAATATTATCTATTGATGATAATTTCGCAATCAACATGCAACAATCGTTCGTTTAGAGATTTAACCCTTTATGCTCGAGAGTCTCTTTATTTATGGATTTCGTTATTTTAGGTTAATAAGAGTATTGGTTTGCGAATAGGTTCTTTATCTTTTTTTTATTAGAAGATGTCATAAACTTATTCTTCAAAATGGAGATGAGGTATTCCTCCAAAACTATGGCCCTGACAATGTCTGCAACGTTAGTTCAGATTCGACAATCGTGCAAAAGTTTCGTATTATAGTTTCGTAAAGTTTAGAAGAAAAAAAAAAAAATGGATTTCGAAAATGAAATTAGCTCAAGTGAAGATGAACTTAATTTTGAACTTGTTGAGAAACGAGATTAATTGTATTCACGAAGGAATTAGTGATAGAGAAAATTAAAGAGGTGATGATTAATTCTTATATTTTTTTATAAGTTAATAAAAAAAAGAACGAAAAGCTATTTACAATTTATAAAAATTTTAATGAATCGATTGAGATTTTCGACAACCGCGAGATCGAGCTTCGATGTCAATTATTAATTATGATGAGATTCGATTAAATGGGAAGCTCCATGTGATTTTAACTGGAACAAAAAAAAATTGTAAGGTTTGTTCTTGCCGAAACAAATCAGATGGAAGACATGAAACAACTTATTATTGTGATACATGGATAAACCAAGAATGTATTATCACACACAAAAAAAAAAATATAGAAATTAAAATCTGCTTTTGCTCTTGCATCTTTGTTATCACACAACCGTACAGAATCAAACAAATTTTTCCTATAAATAAATGTCAATTCTTAAAATGTATAATAACAACACGGTTTAGAATGAAGTTTGGCTGGATGAACATTCAACTAGCGACACTCGTGTGAAAAAACGGAATTACTTTTACCCGAACAACCCAATATAAAGTACAAAATAATTTTATTTTGCGATATGTTTAATAAATAATTACTATCAAATGATCATTGAACAAGAAAAATTTATTATCTCGAAGCGAATAAATATCATAAAATAACATTTTTATTGCAATTTCTGAATAAACACATATTTTGAATTTTTAACATCTTGATAAAATTTAGAAAAATTTAATAATCTTCGATCGTATGGTATTTTCCAAAACGTGCAATGCAACTTTACATGTTTTGCACTTCCACGTTGTTTCGCTACGCTTTTTTATGCAAACTTTGTAACTCTTGGTCCAATGTTTGTTGCAATCTTTTTGGTAAATCTCTATTCTTTTCTGGTTTACATTCTGGTAACGGTATATTTTTTATTAATCTGATTCTGCTATTTCAATTCTATATTCAGCGTAACTTTGTTTTTTGCTAGAATTTATTTTATTGAATAATGTAAAATAAAATATAGAAGTTGAACAGAGCAATATCAAACAGGTAAAAGAAATTTTTTCGGTATCCTTTCACATATTTCTTCATCACAGGCATTTGATCTTGCCGATCAATTCCAATCATTCCCTTGTTGTGCTCAATGACACATTTTGGTTTCGAAGTACCATTGAATTGATTTTTGTCTGATTTTGATAATTATAGCTGTGTTCTGAAGATAGAATATAAACGTCTCGTTTATCTTTCCATTTCAATGCCAGTATGCCATTGCAGCTTCTCGTTCTACATTTATCCTTTTTTTAATTTTACTTTGCAAAAATTTTTTATGTATTACATTATAACTCGAATGCTTGGAAATTCTTGATTTCTCTGCCTTATTATCATCGTGCAAATTGAGATTTATTTTTCGGGCAGTTTTAAAAATAATGGATCGATGGTGAAAATCATTCGTCTCACAGCGATCAGTCATGGATCATTCCATCGAAGATGCGAATCTTGAAATAATTCCACTTCTCGTGACAAGATTTTCCTTGAAGGAAACATAATTTCCACTCACTTCGCGAAGCAATTTACATGATAAAGTATATTCGATCTTCCATCAATTATATTTTATTCAATATAATTATGATGAAGTCAATCCAATTATTCGTTCATGAAGTTGACGTAAGAAGCAATTTTGCTAGCAATAAAACATTAATTCGAAACACGGCAGGCTAATCTTTTTTGAAAAAATCGATATAATAGATTTGTGTCTCTCGAATTATCAGAAATTCATAGGTATATTTACGAGTAAATCCGTTCGAGCGCATCAGAAAACTCAACTTATCGCAACTCCACTCTGTTTTTGTGATCCAATGTGAGACGTGGAATGGCAATACATTGGCTTCGAAATACTTAATTGATGCTCTTTAAATTCTAAGATATTATATTTATAACGATTTGTTTCGAATTGAAATTTGAATGAAATTTTCAATTGCCCAATTTAAATTGGTAATTTGCAACTCCAATTAAGCATTCAATTGATATCAAAGATAATTCGAATAAC